AAGCCCGGCATAACCACGGGTAGCCCGTGACCTGGTTTAACGCGGGGTAGGATGCGCCGTCCCAGCAACCGGGAAGCCCGGCATAACCACGGGTAGCCCGTGACCTGGTTTAACGCGGGGTAGGATGCGCCGTCCCAGCAACCGGGAAGCCCGGCATAACCACGGGTAGCCCGTCGGGTAGCCCCTGGTTTAACGCAGTGATTGAGAATGCGCCGTCCCAGCAACCGGGAAGCCCGGCATAACCACGGGTAGCCCGTGACTTGGCTTGGTTTGGGGTAGGATGCGCCGTCCCAGCAACCGGGAAGCCCGGCATAACCACGGGTAGCCCGTGACCTGGTTTAACGCGGGGTAGGATGCGCCGTCCCAGCAACCGGGAAGCCCGGCATAACCACGGGTAGCCCGTGACCTGGTTTAACGCGGGGTAGGATGCGCCGTCCCAGCAACCGGGAAGCCCGGCATAACCACGGGTAGCCCGTGACCTGGTTTAACGCGGGGTAGGATGCGCCGTCCCAGCAACCGGGAAGCCCGGCATAACCACGGGTAGCCCGTGACCTGGTTTAACGCGGGGTAGGATGCGCCGTCCCAGCAACCGGGAAGCCCGGCATAACCACGGGTAGCCCGTGACCTGGTTTAACGCGGGGTAGGATGCGCCGTCCCAGCAACCGGGAAGCCCGGCATAACCACGGGTAGCCCGTGACCTGGTTTAACGCAAAGGATTCTAGAATGCGCCGTCCCAGCAACCGGGAAGCCCGGCATAACCACGGGTAGCCCGTGACCTGGTTTAACGCAAAGGATTCTAGAATGCGCCGTCCCAGCAACCGGGAAGCCCGGCATAACCACGGGTAGCCCGTGACCTGGTTTAACGCAAAGGATTCTAGAATGCGCCGTCCCAGCAACCGGGAAGCCCGGCATAACCACGGGTAGCCCGTGACCTGGTTTAACGCAAAGGATTCTAGAATGCGCCGTCCCAGCAACCGGGAAGCCCGGCATAACCACGGGTAGCCCGTGACCTGGTTTAACGCAAAGGATTCTAGAATGCGCCGTCACAAAATATATCATTATTTTCTCTGGCAAATATATAATACCAAAGAAAGCTGTAAAATGGATGCGGTTTTCGCTTGTGTTTGTTATCCCCTCTATTACGATTTGGTATGATGCACGTCCCGAATCTGGCATCACTGCATGCAAGCAGTAACATTGAAGCGCCGTTAGCGCAATCTTTCGTCAAAGACGCCAACCGTACAAGAAATACATTGCCATTATTACATGTGTGTTGTGTACGTGTATATATACGTGTAGTATAATACCACTATATTCTATGCATGTGTTGTGTACATATATAGCGGCAAAGGGGCGACGACCAGGAAGACGATGATGATGATGATGAAGACGTTTCTTACATGAAAATTTCCACATTTCGACTTTGCTTCGTAATATCTTTGCTTTATAGAACATGCAGAGCAAAAATAAAGACACTTTCCTTATATAAATCGAACCCAAGCTATCGATTAAGCTTATCAAGAATTCGATCGGTTCAGCCGTTATTCAGATCTGGTAATCTAAGGTACTCTCAACTATCCGACTCGCGTATAGATACCCGGGGTGCCTCGCT